ATTTATTATTTATTATTAGGGGGGTTTAATGATATGAGGAAGCGATTATATTGGGGTCCCCTAACTTACTTGGGGAGAATACCATTTAGCAATTCCGTTCAAGCTTTCGAGTGGGCTACAATAAGTCTGACCCGGGCGTCAGTTGGCAGCCTTGATCAGTTGAGCTAAGGTACCTTTGAAGAGCCCCGCCGTGGAAGCTTGACTGGTTTGACCTGATCTTTATGGGATGTGCAGGTGTTGTCTTTGAAGCCGTTTAAAACTACTATTTCATGTGTGGTGTGGAGGCTACTTGAGGCATGCCGATAGCGTTTCGGCAAATCATAGGCAATAGACTCCGTACAGCCACATAGCCTTGGACCCAGTTCATGTGTTGAAGTTTGCGTTTTCCTTCCAAAACGATACCGTGACGGCCAAGAGCGATACGTCTAGGTCATGTGCCCGACGTTCCCATAAGGTGACCGTCCAAAGCTATAGGAACAAGGAGCATTCGAAGAGCTTGGGTGCAGGGATATTTCTGCAGCAGTTGCTGACCCTGCTCTTAAGGCATGGTCCTGGAGCTTCTGCCAGGCGCCAAAGCCGCCGCGGGCCCACCAACATTCCAGACTGTGACGCGCCACTCAGTTCAAGGGGTGTGTTTGCAGTTGTAGAAGAGCACCGGCTTGGGGCCTGGCACTCTGCCCAGGTGATGCTCTGCCATGTCATGGGGGTCCCGGGCCCATCTACTCCATACCAGCTGCTCGCCGCATTGCTACCAACGTTGCAGCTGCCGGCGCATACCTACATAGCAAGGCCTTGTCCATGCCATGCCTTGTTCTGTCGACGGCGGCTCTGTAGACCTGTCTGTGGCCTGATTGTGGTGTTGCGGGGTGTGGTGTGAAGTTGCCAGGGTCTGATGCATGGGGACATCTACCTCCACAATACCCTGGTGATCCTAGATGGTCCCAAGGACATCTTTTGGTGCATGCAGGGAATAGCCAGTGCTGCATTTACGGGTTAGTTTTGGCACCAACATGCGCAGGACAGCTCCTCGGTCAAGGACTTCCGCTGCAGTATAGCTTTGAATCGTCCTGCTATGATTGGGCCAGCTTCGATGAGCAAATGGCTATCAGACCACTCGGCTTTAAGCAAGCCATTGCCTTTTCGGTTTGAGAGCTGCTCCTAAGTGTGGGAAGTATGCCAAACGTATTTCCCATGCAGGACGTGCGGCTCTCTGACTTTGGGGCTGCTGCAGCAGTAGATGATCCCGCCATGAGAAGGCCCAAGTGCTGGCAGCTGGAGTCGAAGCGTTTAACATCAATTAATGGGTTCTCCTGGCCAGGTTGGAGGTCAGGAGTTTTGGCTGGCTGCTGCAAGACTTGCTGGAGAGCCATGCAGAACCGCAGAATGAAGGGGAAGCCTCAACCCTGGAGCTGATAAAGGAGACGCGCTCGGGATCCTTCTTGGCTTTGTTTGGATTCGTTGTCATATCTCACTCACATCCAGCAAGCTAGAACGCAGGACATTCGACAACGCTGCGCTAGCAGCGATCCATCTGAGTTGCCCTCATTTGATGAGATTGTAGGCCAGCTAGGCTGACCACAGGCGTCGTCTCGCAACCCCTGCGCGCCGTTGTGCTGGCTCTCATGAGGCCCAGTCTGTCTGGTGCTGTTCAGGTGCTCAGCTCTTGCAGGAAAGCGCTGCATGAAATACGAAGCTGCTCGCGGGCGTCCATCAGTTCCGTGCACCCTTGTGTACGTAAGGATTGGTTATCACACAAGAGACCGCAAGAGGAAAATGAACGGCAAAAAGAGGATGATGTAGTGATGCCGGCGAGATGAGGTAGGCCTTGTTATGGCTGCTTTCGTGAGATTTCGTGAGTGCACACGGCGTTCGTCCTGAATATCGGTAAGTGTATGCGTGGGGGGTCCTTCTCAAGAGACGATGAACAGAACTCCTTTCCAAATATGATGCAAGCTGAAGCATGTGCTGTTTTCGGAGTTATCCTGCTTTAAAAAAGTGAACAGACTGAGCACGGCGGCTACGTGCGGCTTGTACCGAGGTGCCCCATCCAGCCACCGGTGCCAATATCTCCCGCGCAGAGCCGCTCTCAGCTGCAAAATATGGAACACACCATCCTTTAGCAGCCCCTCACCTTTTGGAACTGTACCATCCAGGCAGGGACCCCTCTGGCGAACTGTGGCTGCAGACTTAGGCGTGGTCAATCACAAAACTGCACATAGCACTAGTGAAAGGAGTAGGCAGCTCTTGCTACCGCCAAGTCCAGCAAGTGGGCTTTTTGTGGTTATGACGCGGAATGCAAGGTTTTTCAGATGGCACGGATAGTTCCAGGAAGGTCTGACTTGATGGAAAAATGCCTTGTCTGGAGCTTGTGTCGGGGCACAACAAGGGCCACGGGTCCAGGTGTCGACAGCGAAGCACATGGAGCCTTGCTGCAGCTTCGGCGCCGTCCTGGCTGATGTTGTGAACACTTCTTCATGCCGAGTCTTCGAGGACCAGCATGAGTTCATACTGGATGCTCACTGACGTTCAGCATTCTGATTCAAAAAATCAAGCTAGGTTATTCGTTTGCACAATGCGCAAGGTGAGCTGCTAGAATGCTCCCGCACTAAAATTCCCTGAGCTTGCGACAGACGAGCAGATGCTGCACATGCACAAACATTTTGCTAATCACACAAGTAAAGTGGCATCTTGAAATTGTTGCGGTAGGCAGCCATTGTTGTTCATTTGCAGAGCATGCCTTCGGATGCCAGGATTGACACTGTGCGCCTCCGACGTGGCGCAGGTGCAGATGGTCGGGATAACCTGCGATGATTTCTGTCGCCCATAAGGAATGATGCTGAGCGAGCTTTTGCTCTTTTCATTTTTCATGTTCTGGTTTGTACATGCTGCCAGACCCGCTACACACGAATCTCTGCAGCTCGAAGCAAGGTGGCAGCCGCAGCAGAAGCGTCGGCTTTAAGGCGTGAGTACTTTGAAAGCTGATGTGGTGCTTCCCGAAGTGACATGCTCAAACCAGGCCAGGTTACCACCTCCTGGCATTGCGCCCATTGTCAGAGGAAGCCTTCCAGGTACCGCACCACTCTTGTTTTGCTGTCATTCTTGTGGCTCAGACGCGGAAACAAGCTGCACTGAAAGTTTGTCCTTGTCGACAGGCGGCGTGCGAGAAGGCAGCCAGGGACTTCAACAGAGTGTCTGCAAAGTGCTTAGCATTCCGGGTCGTGGCCCCGTAGGCACCATGCCTTTCGGGTATATGGTATGCCACTGGTTAGGAAGTCTCAGAGGTGCGGGCAGTCACAGCGACGGGGCGGGTCAGGGTCGCGATTTTTGGAGCATTAACATTATCGTTGTGTTGTGTCTCTGTCTTTGTGTATGTCGTCTTGCGTGTCTTTCGTCGGGCCTTGCTTTGTGCCTCCCTGTTGTAGCCTCTTGCAGTGTAGTAGACTGTCTCCATGCCATGTCATGCATCTATTGTCGTGTTTTAGTGTTGTGTTTCGGGATGTTTCGGGTCAACCTGCATTTCGACAGCGGTTCATGGCGCTGAACATTGACTTCATGATCTCATTCCAATCGATGTTGCTGTTTCTATGCCAGGGGGTCTGTGACATTATCTCTTTGGAGATGGACGACAAAGTGCCCTTCCAATTGAAGCGGAAGGACTCAGTCAGCTTGTCTAGAATGCATGCTGTGATATGTCAGTGGCTGTCCTAACCTGAAGCCCCAGATGATTCATGCACAATACGATGAGCTTTTTCCAGCAAAGTGGACATCACAAGCCCAAAAGATGCTCTCTCAGAATGCAATAGTCACTAGTCATGTCAGAGCGTTGCTTGGCAGTTCAGTTGAAGGCCAGGAAAAGAGAGAAGGCCACACCAAGTCCAAACCCGTTCAGCAGGAATCTCCGGTGTAAAATGGGTTCAAGGCAGATTCAGGCTTTCACACGGGAGGTTGGAGATGCTGAACGGCTCTGCAGCCCCGATGAAGAACTGCTTTTGCAGGATGTGATTGCTTTCCTTAGCCAGGAGCTCATTGTTAATCCTGTGTGTTCAGAGCTGGCTGATGGGTAGATGTCTTGGACATGAGTAGTTGCTGAAGACACCTGAGACCGTGGTGGTATCTTCGAGTCTTGGACCCAGAGAGTTTCGTGGCAAGTCTGGTCTGTAAGCAAAGGGGTTCAGAAGCCGGTCTACTGGGGACACGGCATTCTTGTTGTTGGAAAGGTAACCAGCCCCGCTGAGGTTGGAGTTCGGGAACGCTCTTCGCGACATTGGTACGCCACCCTGAACTTATCAGGTGGCTCATGCTGGAAGATCCTTGAAATCCTGGGTCCGTATCTACAAATACCCAGCACGAAGCTCGTAAGATGTTGAAAGTTGGTAGTAGGGGTGGTGATGGTCATGGAGTTGGTTCTGGTGGCACAGCATCCTTGAGGACTAGCTGCTGGTACATGTGGAGAAAGCACGTTATGCAAGTGACCTTAAGCTTATGACGCATATGCGTGCGCAGTGGATGTTATGCACTTGCTGCAGCTTGCCGGCGGGCGTTCCTGGCCAATGTTGAGCAGCTTCTCCACGTCACGCGCGGCAGGAGTGCAGACTTGCAAAGTACAGCCTCTGCCAGCCTGATAGGTGCAGGTATAGACTATCTTTTTATTCAGATCTTGCCTTGTTCAGGAACGTGCTGCTCAGCAGCGGGGCCGTGGACCCCTTGGAGATGAGGCTGAGGGCTAACATGGGGTGATGCTTGGACTGCCCGCACGGTTGGACGTTAGGTCACCTGGGGACTTAGTCAACGCTGCCGCCGTTCTCGGCCTGCGTGGAGAGAAGGCGAAGCAGAGCTTGACGGAGGCCTATCACCTGAATGCCCTGGTTCCTGGACTCGAGCGCTTCCGACCCCCTTCACCCCCAGGTGGCCTACACCGCTCTGCAGCGCGGGATTCTTCGACGTGGTTGCAGCCAGGCTTGGGTGCAAGCATCATTAGATCTCATGTTTCACCATTCATTTTTTGAGCACCATGCAGGTGCAACTTGGACTCTCTTTGTAGCGCTCGTTTGGTATTTTGCCACGTGGGCAGGTCATGCCGCCTCTGAATCCAGAAGCAGATGATGTGGAAATGGGCACAGAGCACAAAGCGCGCGTCTATCTTACGCTTGTGGGATCATGTCTTGTAAGTCTTGTAAATCTGTATGCCCTTTCGTAGGATGGCAAATTTCTTGATCTAGCAGCAAGTCAGACTTTCGCAGCGCTTGGCTTGAGGAGTCAGATCACACTGATGAAGCAATATGCTGACACAACAATGCCTTCCTGTCTGGTCACTTCTATGTCTATTTGCAATGGACAGCATTCTTCATGTAGACCGCTGATTACGGCATGCTCGGATGACTAAAAGGGATTTGCCTTCGATGACCGTCCGGAGTTCAGGTAGTTCACAAAAAATCCTGCAAGCAACTACATTACATATGCCCGCACAGTCTTCAACCACCGACGCAGAAACATTGCTAGGCTGAATCCTGCAAAGCTGACAATATGTCGGCCTGCCAGATACGGCAGACGTAGGCGTCTGCTCCACATTAATCAAAGCCCATTGCTATTTGCTGTGGGTGCCGTCGGCTTCTGAATTGTTGTGGTGCTGCCTCATGATTGTAGCTCCACGCGTGCTCCCGAATGGATACGATCAATTAATCATTTTCGTTTGCTACTTTTCAACCGGTTTTGGAATTTGTTCTGCGTTGGATGTGGATTCGGCCATACAGGAGCCGGCAACGCCGGATGCACATCGGAGGAAGTTTAGGTTTGAAGGCCGTGCAGGGCATGTCACTGATAAATGTTGAATTCTGTGCTCTGGTTGCGTCGAACGGATGCAAGTTTCTGATGACTGAAGCTCTGGACAGGAAAGGGATGGAGCACTACCTGTCCGTGGGTCACACAGCTGGTGTCACCATGTTACCATCAGCTTGATTTGACATTTTGTTTTGCAGAGCTTAACGCCGGCCCGAGGATCCGCAATGTCTTCGATGTCTTCCAGAGCGTTCATGGAGGAACTTTGCAATGACGCGGGCGGGTACAGCAGGCTTGTGAAGTGCTCATGGTTGATCGCCTAGAGCATGCGTGCGCCGCCCTGTTGCCAGCAACTGGCAGGTTTCTTCGTATTTTGGCATTCCACCACCTTTGTTGGTGGGCCTGGGTCACAGGATGTCACAGGGTGCAGACTTGGCTGAGTCAGGGCACATTCTTTGCCAGAGCCCAGGTTGCTATCACCGTCGTCCCTGCAGTTTTCCTTGATCACCACAGGCAAGTGCCAAGTTAGCAGCACAAGTACCTCTGCATCCGTTTGCACGGTCTCAGCGTGCCGTGCTAGAGTGACATGACTTGATCTGCCCAATTTCAGTTGAATCGAAGGAACGCCGACATCTCTACTAAATTGAGCGCTGCTTGAAATTCAAATGCGTGGTGCGATCTTCTTGCGTATGCAGGTGCGAGGCGAATATGCCTTACTGGGCCTGGGGGTTGCCAGAGCCCAAGTGAAGCTACCAGTGCTTTCGTTGAGCTTCCAAAGGTAAAGCAGAAGGAAGTGAGTGCAAATCTTGGGCACTGCTGGAACAGCGCAGGGCCGCGTGCAAGGTGCCGAAAGTGGATTATAGTGTCCCAGCGAAGTGAAGTAGTAGAGCTTCCTTGCCACTTCACCCGCCTCCTCTACGTTCTAGATGGAGCGTGGTTCCGTCTCTTGCAGCTGCAGCACAGGGCTCTGCGTGATGCTGTCACGACTACACCAGTCTGCCAGATTGTTTGCCAGAGTTGCACGTGCTGTTGCTGAAGGAGCAGGATGTGTATGGCCGCAAGGCTCCTTCTCTGGTTTCGCTTGACGTCACAAACAGAGAGCACACCAGCCAGCGTGTACAGCAACAGCTTGGCTCAGCTGCGTTCTTCTTTGCTTTGCTTGACCCTACAAACACAGAGTCTAACAGCGAGGGTGCGCAGTCAATCCCCAAGCCGAAGACCACCCATCAACCAGTCTACCGCCGGTTCCGTGTCTTGGCTTCCATCCATTTTCGCAGCTCTGGCTGGTGTGCAAGCAACGGATTTCCTCGCGGCGACCGGCTCTGAAAGCCTATGCCCTTGCTTAGAGGGAAACTCGTAAATCTGGCATCCAAAACAGGACGGCGCACAGGCGTCTCCGACGGCCCCGGGTCTGCAGCTCGTGATGTGCGTGCAGCTCTGCGCTTGCCTTGAGGCTCGGCGGCTGCGCCTGCTGAGCCGTGCCACGTAGGGACGTGGAAGGATTCCCAACCGCTGCGTGCTGTTACGCTTGCACGCCGCAACCTGGCTGGAGCTCAGCTGCGCAACTGGCACTGGAAGAAGCTGCCCCTGCGACAACTGAGTGTGATGTTACGTTGCCAGTTTCCCGACACCCAAGCCAGTCCCGAGCCTGGCAGAAGCTGCGCCAGCAGCTTTGCAAGCACTAGAGCAGGCCGAGCGGCCTCCTCCGCAGAGTGGCGCTGGCCCTGACATGAAACACTGAAAACTCGAATGCCCTTGAACCCGATCCAGGCGAATTGAATATAGATCGACAGGATCTGTCGCAGCACGCTCACACTGGCGCCCTCTTCACGCTGAGAGCCGCCTCTAGCGCCGACACTGATTCCACATCCCTGACGCTATTGTGAGAAGCCATAAAAAGGGATTTGTTGGAAGCCCTTTAGTGCATGGCTACGCCCCGGCGAAGCCCTCATACTCCCGGCATGTCACCTTTGGGACCGTTCAGGGGGATGGAACATGAATGGAAGCTGGCTTTTTATAGGGAATGTAACAGCGGCCTCTGATCAGAAAAGGAGTTTGCTGTAAAAAGGAGTTTGGTGCAAAGAGAGAAGATTCTTGTGATAATCATATCAGCTGGCGGACGAGCACAAAGTCTGACCGCTGGAAAGAATCCGGCAACTCTTACCATTACGATTACTACTATTATTGATCTTATTATTATTGCAAGTACTTTACGGGATGATTGTCTTCTGTACTCAGATACGGGGCAACCGTCCTGGCAATGTTGGTGATGGCTGGGCCCTCGGATTTCTTGACCATCCTGTCCGATTGCAATAGTTTGGGTACTGCACTGACCCTGTAACAGTCTATAATTATTATGGATCATATTAAGGGCATATATATAATAGGTATATATACAACATTATACTAAAACTGTATGAACAATTTTATTAAATTGTCACAGAGTGGGGTCAGTACCCAGGCAATAGTTCTCTTAATGGCCTCGAGCCTCTCGATTGGAAAGGAGAGGTGGATGCTATTGGCAATTTTTAATCTTCACTCGAGACTGCACAGGGAGGCCTCCTACTACCTTCTAAAAGGAAACATGGACAATCATTTTGGGGGGCCTTCAACCACTTGCCGATTCACCCTAGGAGAGCAACCGCGTAATTAACTTGGACCCTGACACACCTGCATGAATTGCGTAAGGGGAAGAGGAGGAAGAGGAAGTAAATTCATTTGTTATCCTTCTAGAAGCCTTTGATGAATGACTCCGGATTTTGTCATATAGTAAGTGGGTTTTCGATGAATTTGAGATCCTCTCAAGCAAGATCCGTAGGTATGTCAGGAAGCGGTGCTAATTCCGAAAAGAATTGATAAAGCAGATCAGGCTTCACAATCAGCATTCAAAGAGCAGGCAAGTGACTCAATTTCCCTGTTACATCCGTAGACCTCCTGCGTTTGAGGTGCTGCTGTTGCTGCTGTACCCAAATCAAGCTTGCCCAGACAAATATCTACAGTAGGGGGTTTCATGAATCAGAAGCTCAGATTACTCAGATGACTGCACAAATCCTAAACCATAAACTTAACACCCAAAACCCTCAACCCTCAACAGTAGTTTCCATTTTCTTTTCCAATTTCCCTATATAGCCCCGATATAAAATAGCAGTTTCCATTTTCTTCTCCATTATCCCTATATAGCCCTATATATAACCCCCATGAAACCCTCTTATATAACCCCTATATATGACCCCTTTCTAAACAGTTGCAGGCGATTCTGATGGAGTTGACTATGCTCCAGCGACTTGGGCTGCTACAGGCTGGTCACCTTTGGATCAATGGAAAAGAACATGGAAGTACTGTAGTAAAATGGGGTATGTATATAGGGATATATAGGGTTATCTGGGGTGATATAGGGTTACATTATTGGGACTATAGGGATTATATCGAGGATAATAGAAAAGAACGTGGAAACTACTATAGTAAAATAGGGTTGCTTCTCCAAATATCTTTGACGTTATCACGGTGGATAGAGATTTCATGTAGTAGCACAGCTGCTGCTAGTAGAAAGCATTGCTTGTTGATAGGCCAGCCAGCTGGCATCTTTTTGGCAGGCGGGCAACTGAAGCAACAGCAGGGAACCACATTAAATTCTAAGTTCTGGGCATTCAGGGAGCCACCAAAGTCGTAACGATTTTCAGTTCATGTGCGGTCTTAAGTAGGGAAGTGCAACCGCGCACGTATCAACCAACGGTGTCCTTGAGTGCCAACAAAACTGCTTCTGAAAGATGGTAGAAGAGAGGACAATCCATCCTGACCATGATGGATCCCCATTGCCATTCTGAGAGGAAAGACGTTGGTGGCTGCCATTGGCTTCTACAGTGCTGTGGAAGGTTCGGCTGTAGCTCCCTTGAAGCATGCGCATTGGAAGTGTCCTCAACAGTTGGACAGCTACACTGATGTGGCTTTCGTCATCATTGCACGCGACTGTGGCTCTTCGCTCTGGTGGGCGTTGCAGCCTCACATTTTGGTTAATTGCCTTGTGTCAGGCTCATCCATCACTCTGAATGAGCTGCTCCCAGGTCCCTGGCCACCATCATTTTTGGGGTGGTGTTCTGCCAGGCCTGTTGCTGAAACGCGAAAGCCTCTTCAAGTAATTTGATGGTCGTGCAATTCACTGGAACTCTTCCTGGCAGATGATCTTCAATACATGCTTTGCATGTTCGGATTGCGATGGGGAGCTTCCGGCTTCGTTTGGGTTCGTGCTCCTTGATTTCAAGGCCGGGTTGACTTGACCTGGCAGCATGGCAAAGGTCGTAGGTCGTAGGATCTGTGGTGGTACTGGTACTAGAGTTCCCTGATATTCATTACCGTCGTATCATCCTAGCAGATCCTAGCCACATTCATTGTGCTGACTTGTCGAACATGATGTGGGATGATGTCTGCCCTGCAGCTCATTAACACGGCCGTTCGTGCGGTGGTACCCTTTGACCCGGATGCTTCCGACCTTCCAGTGGCTGGGTGCCTGGCTTCCAGCCTTCGATATCATATATGAGGCTGCTTCTTGCTGCTTTTTGTGTTTGCTCTGGTCAGAGGCCAAGCCAGTGACGCTCAGATCATCCGGAAACCTGGTCAGCCGCTGGACTTAAAACAGTCTACAAGCAACTCTAGCAGGGCAGAATGAGGTCATGGGCTGAAGATGTTCTCATGACTGTGAGAAACTTGCGCACTCGGACCATGGTCGCTTGCTTTTGCTAAGCTTTCCGCTGAGGTTTAGAGAAGGCAATTGGCGACATTGCGCAGGCTGGCCGGCTCGCTGTCGTTGTTGGTGAGAAGCTGGCATTTCGTTTGAGAGTGTTTGCTGATCTTGCTGCAATCACTTCCGTAACCAAAAGCATTGTTCCTGCTGTGCTTGAGATACTGTGTAAAACGCTCAGGTTTGCATACAGTCGCTGTTTCTGATGAGTGCTTCGGTGCCGTTTTGGTCTCAGTTGATCTTGAGATGCTGTCGCTCTGTATACATTGATAACCATTGGCAGCACCTACGAAGTCAGGCACGGCTTTGTGATCTTCAGCGTGGCCATTGGAGCAGCAAACTGCTGCCTTTTGGTCACAGCGGTGGTGCCTTGACTGGAAGCCTCAGCCGGGGTGTGCCACGTGACAAACTGCTTCTGAGGTGCAAGATGCCATTTCAGAAGAGTGGGCAGTGCAGGCACGTTTTGCACTTTATTTTTGCCTCAAGGCGAGCTTCTCCATGGTTCCCCCCAGGCCCAGGATCTTCAACAAGGTACCGTGTTGGCACGAGGCAGTGTGGTGCCCAGTCTGCGGTGAAGAGGCTTCAGATGCGCCGTGCTGTCCAGGTGCAGAAAGCTCATCTGACCTGGAGGACAAGATTTTTTCACCTACTGGCTCTTAGTAAACAGGGGTCTGTTGGTTCCTGGCATGAGCTCTTGCAACGCATCTTGTTTTGGTACCTTCTTGCTTTCGGTGCCTCCTTGCGTTTGCTGTTAGCGCTCGAGTTTGCCTCTACCTCAGTCTCAGACTTTCAACCAGGAAGGGCCCGCCAGCCAGATGCCCATGGAGGATATGCCAGCAGGCCCTTGTGTGGGCTTTCCGGATGCTATAATATAGACATCACGGTAGTGACGAATGCAGACCAAACTTCCTGCTCTTTCCCGCTTCGCAGACCGTGGCCGTGATAGCATCCATTTCCCTGAAGCCTCTCACTTGTTGCGTGAGCTACACGCTACGCGCCTAATTCCTGCAGGACCTGTGCCGACATCGCTTCGGGCTCAACTTCTGTTGTGCGTCCGCGCGTGCCCTTTACGAAGCTTCTAGGCTGCAAAAGCAGAGCAAGCTCTCAGCAAGGCTCGGCCTCAGCGCGCTCAGTGCACTGGATCGTCCAGCAAGAAGCGATGGCGTTGACCTGCTGTGAGCGGGAAAAGGCTTTGCAGGAGCCCAAGGTGCACAGGTCTTTCACGAGAGGAATAAGCACCAGGCTGCAGCGAGGAGCACTTGCTACATTCATCTGCTCCGTGGACGCATGCAAGGCATAGAAGCTCTGCAATTCTTGGCCCACCACATTAGACGTCGAAAACTTTACCATGGCAAAGTAATATGATGCATCACTCCGCCCAAGGACTGTATTGCTGGCCAAACATCTTTTTGGAAACTGCAGAATATATAGCTGTCAAAAAAAGCAAGCGAGAGCCATCTGCGCAGTGCATGTGCTGCGCTTACCACTAGAACGATGCCTACCAAGCTGCCCTAACAGTGCATATGCTAAATTAGCAGCAAAAACCGACAGTTTGGAAGTGTGCTCGCCATCGGCGAGCGATGCTGAGAGGTTCGGACAATATTTATTGGCTTGCAACCTTCATGTTTGTTTACAATGGGTGCCGTTTGCTGATGTGAGTATGCTCATTTTCAATCCCAGGTGTCGACTTAGTGCAAAGGGTTCTCTGTGAAGGCTCCTGCGCCCCGCTCCAATGGAGGTTTCAGAGGCCTTTCTTCTTAGGGGTGTTTACACTGCAACTGTTTGATTGCTACTGTAATTCTTGACCTCAGGAGCGCGAGGAATCCATCCGCAAAGTGCAGGAGAAGCAAGATCCCTGGCTTCCACACATTTTTGCCTCCCAAAGAACATCACAAATAGTAACAGTAGTAGTAATAATAGTGGTGATAGCATCCTGAACCCTGCAACTTGATGTCAAGGCTGGAACAGCTCCTGTCGCGAGACAATTTGCAGGAGGCCAGCTGCAGACTAATGAGGATACATAGGACTCTGTGGAGCGCGGTAAGGGTATATTGAAAAGATAAGTCGCTTAATTAACGTGGCTCACTGGGCAAAACCCTGACAGGACTGTTTCATCCAGATGAACATGGACTCACAGATGCAGATCCCGATTCCTGTCCTCGCTGGTGGCGAGCTCAGCTTGACCATGTAAGGCATGTCCTGCATTTGGCGATGATGATCGCGGGCTCTCCTCCATATCCCCTTGCTTCATTTTGCATCAACTCTGACTTTCCAACATCCACCCGAAAGCGGATCACAGCAGTGACAGGTAAGCTTTCAATCGACTCAGTATGCTTGAGGAAGCTAGGTGGGTATGCCTCTCCCAGTGCACTGATCGTTGGCAGGAGGTCTGTGCTTGGTTAGCTTCAGAAGTCTGTATACTTGCTGGCAGCACATGCGGCCCCCTCAAGCTCATGAAGTGCGCCTGCTGTACCAAAAGTTTGGCAACCTATTGCCTGGCTAAGGCCACCAGCAGTTTGAGGAAATGGGGCAAAGTGCTGACATCGCGACGCTTTTTGATGCCGCGCCATGGCCTCATGCCCATGTCTACCGTTGGCGGGATTTCCCCCTTTTTTTGGCTTCAGTAACTAGATCCAAGGCTTCGTTCCGAACAGGTCATTGTTGACAAGGCCGCAGCAGCTGAATGCTCCCGTGCTGAAAACATAGAGGAAAGCCCAAAATTGATAGCAAGTGAAAGAGGAGAACATGCTCATCAAGCCCATCTTGAAGAGCAAGCGGAACACTGTCATTCTGCACGATCTTCCCGACGGGATTCCGCAAGAGGAGCTGATTAGCGCATTGTAGCAAGTGGGTGGCTTTGAAGACATTTGTTTGCCAGAGTCTTCTGGTCTACTCAGAACTGCACTGTAAGGTCGCAGTGTCGCTTTGATGCTTTTCCCAACTTGATGACTGACGTGGTCATGCCTGGCCGCACTTTGGGCTCGAGCTTGTGCACCTCGCGCTGCGCGTGGAAGATGCGCAGCACAGGCAGCCTGAGCGGCATCAGCGCCGTGAGCCCAGACATGTCGTCAGAGACTAAACTTTGAGACTCAAATCCTCTTAGCAGCTCAGGCTCCAGAAAGTTTCGCTGCTGGCGACCGTGTTCATGTGTGGAGCTCTTCTGCAAAGAGGCAGATCTGTTTCTCATGGATTGTGATAAGTGTGCTGTCAGCGTTGTCCTGACATAGACCGGGCAATTGCTGCGTACAAGTTGCCAGAGCCTTATGTGGTTTCATATGGCATGCCGTAATTCTGCAGGTGGTTCGATGACGGCGAGGTACAGGCAGATTGCATGGTTGACTCTTGCGGGTATAGGTACCCGCAATCTTGGGGCTTGAAATAGTATTGTAAAACTAGTTTTTTCACAGAGCGACTTTCAAATAGAATCAGCAAGAGCCAGGCGATTGCACCAGATGGTGCCGTCCTAGTGCGCTTCAACAATGCCCGGCCAGCGAGCAAGGATTTTCCATCACCGTACGAGCACATGTTCTGTTGTGTGGTATCCCTACCATTTCCATGAAGCAACGGCAGCTTCACGCAGGAGGTGCCCCAGCGCCAGGCTTGCAAGGCTGGAACTTGTTTGTTCATGTGAGTTGATGAAGGTAGATCCGCGTCAGTGCTCGAATCGTGCATACAGCACAAGTCACAAGAGCTCTGCACACTTTTGTTCATGTGCATGGGAAGGTCCTGCGCAAAGTCAGCATTCGCCCTACACGGACGGATCCGAGAGCGGTCCTGTGCCAGGCTTGGACTTTCTCCTGATGCAAATGAGACTCGTGCGGTTGCAGTACATCTTCTGAACCAATTTTTGACACTTCTTTCCATTGATTAAGGCTAAGACGAATGTCTGTCGCGCACCTCTTTGAGTTCTTCTGAAGTTATGGATTAGTTCTACTGCTTATGATATGCTCTCAGTGCACTACTGTGGCATCCATTGCACAAGCGGCGTTCATCCATAAGTCGATGTGCTCAGATCACTACAAAAGCACCTCGTGCGAGGCCATCGGTACAGGTTGTGGGCCACGCGATGCGAGGCGTCGCTGCGAAGAGGCGAATGAATATGCTAGACGAGTTTCCGCTGCAAGCCAACGTCTGCTTGTTGGTCCGATTTGGGAACAGTATCGGTAACTCCGCAGACGGTCAGATGCAGGCATCAATGCGCATGCGAAAGGCCGCAGGTCCACATCCAGTGATTGTACTGTGCTTCCAGCAAGCAGGATCCGCAGGGAGCATGGATTATTGTGTAGACACACTAGGTGCCATCACAGTTCCGATTGAGGGTGGATGCTTTGCTTTCAGCTTCTTCGTCGGAGCATGAGGTATCACGAGGTAATGCTTTATGGACGGAGCTGAACACACATGCTGGCATCGTGGGACGGCAGACAAAGCATCTGATAAAGCTTAACATGTCCCAGCATACGTTGCTATGCTCGCTGCTGCAGGTCTTTGCTCAGTGCGCACATGGTCACAGATCCATATCCAAGGCCGGTCAACAAGCAAGGTGCAGGAAGAGGAACTTGCACGGACTCACACGTCAAGGGCTTTTGCAATGCGCAGGCGGACTTGTCCCAGTTTTTGCGCACGCTGGGCCATGATGCTCGAGCATCGCTGCTGGCAGCGCTCTTTGCACGTGCTCAGGAGAAGCTTGGATTTTTCTAGAACCACTTCAGTTTTTTCTCTACTCGTTCACCGTCCATGTGGAGGGTAACACTAGGTAAAGCCAAGGAAAGAAGGGGATGTCATGGAGTTTGACAAGTTCAAATCTTGGCTGTACTCCGGGCGGCGATGCCAGCAGAGTGTCGGGCAGGACGCAGATCCACAAACTCGCATTGCTGTTGTGTTGCTGCTGTTTTGGGCGGCTAACTGCCAGCCGCAGCCGTGCATTGAGGAAGGGTCCCGCGAAGAAGAGATTCGCACAGTTGGTAAGACGACCTTCCAGGCTGGACTGAGAGCACTTGAGTGCAGGTGTAGTGTGCAGTGACGTCACTTATCGGTTGAGGATGAACCTCTGGCTGTGTCAAGAGGCCGTGGAGGCGAACAAGCGAAAGGCAGCAGGCGATGCTGCCATGCCGCAGAAACGCATCAAGCTGGATGAGGCGGGGAAAGACCATGACACCATGGCATTTTAATGTATTTCTGGAAAATGCTACTCAGAGGCGAGCAGTTCCGCCTCCGCTGTCAAAGCACTTTGCCTTTTGGCAACTATACTGATTACTGATAGATGCTTGCACAGATTGCGGGCCAAATGCTCTTCAGACTGCCAGGGCACATTGCTGGTAGGGAAGGTGTGCAAAGGGCGTCAGGATTGGCGCGCGGCTACCAGATGCTACCAGTGGCTAGCTAGCCAGCAACCACTACTTTTGTGACTAAACACAGCAGCTGTCACCTAAGCCGATTCCAGGTTAAGCCGAAGGTGCCCGTGGAAAGCGGACGGCAGATTTTCGAGGGCTGCGCCATCCTGGTGTGCAGCCGAGGACGATGGTGCGCTTTGCGTGAACTTTCCCCGTCGCTGCGTGCCTCTAGCAGGAGGCACAGCCATGTCCTCCACACGGAAACAGCTGCTGGAGGCCGAAGAACAGCCGCACTCATGTGCGCTAGAGAGTAGAAGACTTCATCAGCATTTTGGCATCTCGGTCTGCATGCCTCAGGCAACTAGATAGAGATAGGCCATACTTTCTTTCCCAGGAAGAGCGAAGTACATATTCCAACATGGCGATCGACATCATGTGATTTAGTCAACGTGAGCAAGGCGGACTGAGGGCCCTCGGATTCAAAATCCAGAAGCAATTGTTGCCGCTCACACGAGCAGATTTGCAAACAGATTCTAGCGGCTTGTTGGGCAGCGACGGGGCACGGTTATTAGAGCTTTGCTTCTCAGCTTGGAAGCCTGTCCGCGAGCCAGAAGAAGTGGTCATTCTTTTCCTTCCGCTCATGTGCTCTGCCTGAAGGCACGAATTCTGGAGGCAGGAGGCCTGGGCATGCTGACCCCGACCATGAAGCCTCCTCTTCATCATTCTTCATCCCTGTACATCCCACTGTCCCACCGTATGTGGTTCAAGGAAGAATTGTGCTGGTGGTAATATTCCATTATTTGTGTCACATTTTGGGGCATTATGTCGCAATGCCTGTGAAGGGGATAAGCATGTGTCCAGGACTTGTTGTGTTGCAGAACCCGCCCCTCCCGATCTTGTTACTTTCCTGTAATGATTGTAACAAGTCACGTAAACCTTCTCCACTCCAAACCGTTCCGTGACATGCTCGTGGCTGGTTGTGACACGCTGTTGGTTGCCGCTTTTCTTGTACTCATCAGAATTCATGAGCCCTCTGGTGCAGCCACTTATCAGTTCCTATTGTCTTGAAAGGCGGCAGGCCGTGCTGTTGTATTCACGTCGCAGGATTTGGGGATCTGTTTGCAGCATCTTTGTCTCATCACCAGCCACAATGTAAAGACAAGCGCTTGCTTGCTGCCTTTTATTGCCTTTCTACTTGATGCCAAGCCTTTCCTGTAAGTTTTGGGCTGAAGCCGTGCAGGCAATTTGTCTGAATCTTGGGATGGTGGCGTGACTCACGTTGTGGTGGCGGGTCAGATGCCAAGGTGGGCTTCCAGAAACCTTGCAGCTTGATTTGCCGATTTTTGCCTGATGCACATCTTGCAGGGCGGTGCTGATGCAGGGCTACCCTGAGGACCCCTGGCTTACGAGCGCAAGTTTTGGGAGAAATTCTGTCACAAGAAGCTCTTGCTGGTGTCAGGCTGTAAGTGGCCCTGGCTTCAAAGCATCTTGGTAGCAACACTGATGAGAACAGACAAGAATAAGCGCTAGTGAATCCGCATGCGCTGCCCAAGGACATTGTAACAGATGCCTGGGTCTGTGAATCCCTTGCGCTGCAACGACGCTTGCCAGAGGCGCTTGGACTTCCAATTTTCAGAGATTTTATTTGGCTGAACCTTGCGCATCAACAAAAACTATTAGAAGTTCAGGCGCTCACCACCTCAGACCATCCCAGACAAATTGAAACCCAAGGCACGCTATGCTTGGCACCCGCTGGCAGAGGCAAGGGTGCAAGTTTGCCGATTTGGGTTTGGCAGGCCTTGAAGCAGTCGTGCAATTGCGGCCCAGGAAGATGACAGCGCGCTGCAGAAAAAGGGAGGACAAGCACACACCTCACTTGCCAGTGTGCGGACTGCCCTCCCCCTCCCCCAATCCCCCCCCACCTCCCAATGAGGCGGCTGAACTGCGGAATTGGTCCGCTAATCTAGAAAGATGGCACACAAAAAGTTAAAGCTCGCACCGCCTCCTCGAGCAGGAGATCCAAAGCAGACAATCAAGAAGGAAGCACCGCAGGCCAGCAAATCTAGTGATGGCGGTTTTCAGATACCAGGATCCTTCATTCTTACCTTTAGTCTCCTGTAGGATACTCAGCAGGAATTCTGCTTCGCTGCAAGGCGTCCTGCAAGCGTGACACCCTGGCCGAATGTGCTGGCGAGCCAGGGTTGAAAACTCGGCCTCTCTGTTTGAGCCATCGTCTAAACTCCTTAAAAGGGAGTATATAGGGGATTATATAGGGGATGAAATAGAGACTATTATAGGGTTTATTAAGCGGGATACTAGGAGTAAACTGCAGGACCCGCCTTGTTGTCAAGCTCCAATGTGTTGTTAGTAGCATCATTGTGATGTTGTCCCGCTCCAGTCTTTGAGCAGCCTAGCATGAGACATGTCATCTGCAAAAGCTGCTTGCTTGAGACCAGGTGGGGCATGTTTGCAAATCCAGATGATCTTCGCGCAAAGATTGTGGAAGAGCACTTCCCCAAGTCTGCCGAACTCAGTAACACCATCTTCAATATCTTCAATTTATGGAGAAGGGGGGTGGCATGCTTCGCTTTCCCAAGTGAGGTTCCGCACATGTGCTGCAGCTTGGGCAGTTCGTGGCGACAAGTGGCGCTCCTGGCAGTACAAGAAGGTCGCCACTTTGGAAAAGTTGCTTTGTTTCAGTGGCATGACCATGACAGCCTGCACAAGAACCTTTGAAGTGAATGCCGGCATCTGCGTTTACTGTTGCCATCCGCCATGGAGAGGCCGAGCAGCTGATAGCTCAACTGAGAGGCGCGTTGCAGCAAGAGGACCCCTCGCTCGAGAACTTTATAGAGCACGCCAGCTTCATGAAGATTGAATGCACTGGATGTGAACAGGAGCTTCGTCATTCTGGCTTGACACCAAAGTTTGTGCAGAAATGCCAGGCGCGCACTTTTTCCAGGGGCTTCTTGTTGGGCTTCTTCTCACCACAAACCAAGGAGATCCAGGAGAAGGGCTGCTTGCAGCAAGCCGAGGCCTTCCGTAAGGACGGTGCAGGGCATGGAAGTTTCAAATCAGACTCGCAGCCGCACAGCTTATGCCAGAAGCAACATTCGACTGGCCACCCTCTGCTCCGGTGGCACTGCATGGATGTTTCCAGTGGCGCTATTCCTGTTGAGGACGCGGATGTCCACTCATTGCTGGAGCTCACGAGGCGTGTCGCGATCTAGTGGAGAAGCATCTAGCACAGTTTTTGTGTGTGAGCGCAAAGACTCTTTACGAAAGAGTTCTAAATTCCTCTAGCTCGTTTGCACGACAGTCATCGACGGCCTCCAAACCTGATAGCTTGAGTTTGAAGATGTGAAGGATACATGGAGTCGGCCCTGCACTGGCGCAGACGTGGCTAAGGCTCAGCTTGCAGTGGCTGAGTTTTGGCTCCACTTTTCGATGATGCTACCCCTGTGACTACTGAAGTGCAAGTCAAGGTCGCGTGGATGCTAGGGCTGCGCTGGTTGTAAGCCTTTTCGCAGAAGTTATATCTCACAGCGCTCTCTGTACAGCTTCAAGTTTGGTTTGATAATATTTTCCATCACATGGCTGGGTAGAAGAAGTTTTGAGCGCCAACGGACACTTGCCGCTCCGGTGTCGTGCGCAACACGTCTTGTCACAAGCGGTCTCTGTGGGCATCCCGCTGCGCTAGTACATGTTATGCCGAGCAATGCCTTGACAGCGTTGAGGAATGTTGCTATCCTAACTCCTTGGAAACCATCAGGTCTAGCGCGTGGTGTCAGAACAGTGGAAAATCAAGACAAACTGGAAGGTGCATGTCAGAGAATGCTGGTCGCATGAGCATGATCGGGAGAAACTAGAGCCAATTTCTTGTAGTGGCCCGAGGACCACATGGTGACATGGCCATTGCTTGGCCAGCTCAAGCTGACTGTCAAAACGTTTGCGGAACGCAGCATTTCGCATGCACGTTCAGAATCACTTCGAAAGTACTCTTAACAGCTGCACATGTTGTTTCCTTGTGCTGGACATGTGTAGCCTTGCTCCTAGCTCTTGTGCGTTCACTCTCCCAGGCTATCACAGGTTCTGAAATCTGGAACCACAAATCACAGATCAAATTTGAATCGTCTGGATGCCCCGGCCAAACAGCCTGACTGGAGTGCTCAGACCGTAAAATCCTGACTGCCTCATGTCTTGCTTCAGCAGTTTACTGAGCTTACTGAGCTCCAACATGTCCTCTTGCAAAAGAATTGCAACTCATCTGTTTTGACTGGACGTTGAAGGGGAGAGTTCTGCGGTACCGTGCTACTTGTCGCCGTGCTGTCGGTTTATCTTCCCAGAGCCAGCCTTGCTTGTGCGTACCGTAGTGTGCCGCGAGGTGTGGGGCGCGTTCCATTGCAGATGTCCGCCTGCGCGTGGACTCGCTTCCGGGCAATGCTGGTGGCCCTGCCACAGGATTGACGAAGGCAGGCATTTGAGATTTGCTCAAACCACTAAGAAGGATTAGCGTGATTTGGCTGGATACTTGAGAGCAGCAAAAGTCGTTGGCGCCGCCAGTTGGCGCAGTCGTTTCACGCAGGCCCAGCGCTTGGGGCTGCGCTTTGTCGATGACTTTCAGGCCCACAGCAGAAAGTGATGCTTTGGCTACATAGAACATCATAGAACTGGATCTCTGGAGGGCATGAGGAACGTAATATATGGTATGGGCAAACCTGTTGTCCTTTCTCCCAAGCTATTGGCTCCATCAGCAGCCTCTGGCTCTGGCAATCAGGTACCCATCTCCCGCTCGGAAGTTGAGAGAGTACACTGCGCCGTGCAGCATGCTGCAGAGGCCTGTCCGTGACCTAAAGGTTCTTTCAGAGACGTGTGAGTATGGGCGTTGAAGTGCATATTCGGAGGCTGCCGGGTGCGTTGCAAGCGTGGTGCCTTGTGGTGCCTACCGTGGCACACTGAGCTTTCTTGTCATGATTTACTATCCTCATTGGCAGCCGACAACCATCAGCATGACACAAGCAACAAGCAGCAGCAATGTCAATCAGGCCGGGGAGACGTGCTGTGTTCCGGTATGACACTGGTGGTGTGCTTGAACGGCGGCTTGTACTGCATCCTATGACCAGACTGCTTCAAGTTGACATTTTAAAGTGCAAGTATTTTACATTCCAAACAACTAGGTCAATTTAGAATAGGGGGTTTGTTCTTGGGTTGCAGCGCCCGCGCTCGAGTTCGGCTTAGGCGACGGTACCGTGGAGCGCGATACTGCCTCCTATCTTTCGGTTGGGGCCCCAGTGAAAAGCATAATTTGTGGAGCCCAATTCCTGTAGCTGAGGCTATGGAGGCTGGTGGGGTGATCGTGGCTGATCTCAGCAACAATGCCTCCGCCTTCCCCAAACCTGTCAAGCTCCAGCCTCAGCCTGCTTGCGGGGGGTTGAGGTACAGGTGGGTTTTCCACAATACATTTACAAATGCAAAGGCCAGGCATTTGATGATGCAGTTGCTGCTGGTCGCTCTGACGGGAAGGTTTCGATAACGCATCTGAAAAAGGAGGGGAGAATGAATTTGCTGTTACCCGTACTAGTAGTACGAGCGAGCAGTACTAGGAGTTCTAGTAGCACTCGTAAGTAAAACTAGCCGTGCTGGCAGTACCAGTTCTACCAGCATTTCTAGTACTACTACCTAGCTACGGATGCTTCTAGTTAGGTAGCGCTGTAATCACAGAGTAGTACCAGTAGTACTTATAGAATACTATTTGAATATGACAAAAAGGTCCAGGTTCAGGAGGAGCAGATTCTGAGGGAGCAATTCAGCAAATGCATGTTCAATCGCTTGTGTTTTCCGGCCCAAAAACTTTCCAGAAAATCCAACCGTCCCAGAAATGCGTTTTGAAATGCATTTGAACATGCATTCAAACATGCATCGGTGGCTTTTGCCGCCGGAATCTGTCCCTTCTGAGCCTGCGGCCTCTTGTCAGATGTATAATCGTCTACAAGTACTCTTAGTACTGCTGGTGCTACTCCGTAATTACGGCGCTACATAGCTGGAAGCATCCGTAGCTACGTAGGAGTACCAGTGCTACCAATGCTGCTAGCATTAGGAATATTATCAGTGGTACCAGTATTGCTAGTACTACGAGTAGCCTCTGCCGACAGGACGAAGGCAAGGCCCCTAACACTTCGTGGCATTATCATATTGCCCCCGATGCGTCACAGTTGTTTCCATGTATATGGTATGATACAGCTCTTAATATAACCCCATGCCAGACCTCAAATGGATTGGTCTGTAGCCACGCTGTCAGATTCATTGTTTGGCCAAGATTGGATGTCAGCTGCCCAAATGGATGTTGCACATGCATTACACATGCATTCTTAGATCCATTCCGTGGGCCGACAAATGCATTTGTTGGGCACATGGTTTCTGCTAAAAGGAATTTGCAAATGCATTCTTAAACACATTTTGGGGTCAATACATGCATTCCATTGCATTCCAGCGCCCGGGGGCTGTAATATAATGGCAGTCGTAAGGGTACGCGCGGACTTATTTTGAGCTCGTTGTGATGCACAATACTTCATTGTGTACTGCCGCCAGGGTGCCTGGCGATGACGACCCAACAGGATCAGCCCAGGCCAGACTGACATAAGTGAGAGATATTGAGCCCCTACTTAAGGAAGCTTCCACACCAGTGATGATACTCCCAACTTTGTGACGGAGAGGCATGCCTTTGCGTCGTGCGGGGCTGTCCGACTGAAGGGGAGCCAATGCGATACAGGCGAGGGCTAGGGGCCTAGGGACGACTAGGACGCATGAAGTATGAAGGTTGACAGCTGTTTGAGGTCTTAATTAGCAATCGTACCATGTCTTCTAGACAAGGCTGCTGTTAGGCTGCTGCCTGCTTCAGAGTCGAGTCATGCAAAACCAGGCGGTGCGACTTCGTGTTTTGCCGCCGTGCGGGGCTGCCGTTCATCACTTTGCAGTGGACTGGAAGTGCCTCAGCCAAAACTCATTGATCCGCTCTCCTTGAGCCGAGCATCACGATTGCAGTAGTCTGCTCCGCAACTAGACCAGGGGGACGTTGACACTGTTTCAGCTCAGAATGAGAAGACGAGAATTGCCACTTCCATTCGCTGATGTTAACAGTGAGTTGCAATTGTCACAGAGCATGGCCAAACAGATCAATGCAGGCAAAGGAGTGCGTTGGCCTACCGCTCTTAGCGCCCTCGTTTTGTCGGGCATACATCTGTTGTTGCTCAGCGTAGAACATGCCATTGGTGATGATCCAGGCGACGGCGGCCTATTCAACAGGCCCAGTTCATGAATTGCAGGGCAATTCTTGAAGCATGCGGCTTGTTTGCCAATAGGGCCCTCATAGCGCATAACCCGTGCAGTTCCGCGCAGCCTTTATGGGTGTACTGCTGGGCCAAGTCCATCTTGGCACTGTCGCGCTAAGCGTGCAGACGTAACGTGGCTTCCAGCTTTGCAGGGAGATGAAGCGCATCGCCGCCCTGCGTGGCCTGCACCTCTCTCACACCTACATGTGCAAGGCCCACTGGGGTGGAGAGCCAGCGAAATTCTCGAAGCGTCCTGTCGCTCAGCAAAGTGTGCTTTGGGGTACATGCTGCAGCTTTCTTCCGTTTTGCCTTGGAGGCTGATCGTGAAGGTGCTCGTGGTCGACAGGCCTGGCGACTCACGTGCTATTCGTAGATATAATCATTGGCTCTGTACGCGTAGGCAATGTCGGGCATGCACTGCATGCACTTACGTGCTGTTACCTATAGAATCCGTATAGATCTGGATTTCACCGCTATTGTGCGGACCGCCGTGGCGAGGGCCATAATCAAGGAGAAATGGGGCATTGCAGTGAATCGAGCTGTCTGCACTGCGCGCAACATTTGATGAGGCCGAACTGCACGAAACTTGAAGTGTGAAATAGGAGAAATGCTTGGTTGAAAAAGAGCTGCATGAATGCAGAAAGACTGGGAAAGGCGTGGAGGGAGTGCAGGGGCGGGAGCTTGCAGGGGGGTTGGAACAAAGACCTGAACAACGGTCCTTGGCTCAAAACGCCTTAGGCCTTTAGCCCTCTGCGGACAATGATAAGAGTAATCGTAATCATAATAGTTACTAATGGTATGTTATATGTCCTTCTGACCTAGGTGGGGGAGATTTGCCGTGCTGGCGCGAAAATCGAATGCGCGGACGAAGCTTGCTGTGATTCAACTCTTTTGCCTGTGAGACCTTGCTGTCATGGCAAATAAGTTGAATTGACAGTTGCTCCTTGCAGTGCCATTTCTATAGAGAGCTGCAGCTTCACATGAGGAGAGGGCCATTTTCGCGGCCATTGGCCTCGCGTACAGGCCGCTACTTTATGGTCGTGCCGCTTTCTGTCCCGTGTGCTTCATTTTTTGGAAGAGGGATCCGAAACAAGACTGCTGTTGGCTACATGCCGCATGTCGTGTTTGAGTATTGGGCAAAGCCCAAGTCGTACTTGCACGTCAAGCGTCGCTTCTGCGGGATGCCCGTCCTGAATTGTCCACATATTTCTCATCCTGCAAGGCCACCGGAAAGACGAGATGCTCGTCCTGACAGTTCTCATGCCAGGAGCAGTTTCAATTGCGGTTGAAGGATGGCGTGTCGCTACCAAGCTTGTCTAGTTGTGCAGGTTTGTTATAGCATGTTCCAGGATTCTAGTTTGTTCGAAGGTCCAGGGGCGCATGCCTGCAAGGCGAGGGGGGAGGGTTACGTGAGGGCCGTTCTCTTGGGGCCGTTCTCTTGGGGCGCCTTGCAGAATGTCTGAGCTAACGATTAACGGGCATCATTAGCAGCAGCTCCGATGATTGTTGTTGTTGTTGTTGTTCTTCTTCTTCTTCTTCTTCTTGTTCTTGTTCTTGTTTTGTTCTTGTTTTTGTTTGTGTTGTTCTTGTTATTCTTCTTATTGTTTTTGTTCTTGCTGTTCTTGTTCTGCTGGTGCTGGTGCCTGGTGCTGGCGCTGGCGCTGGCGCTGGTGCTGGTGGTGCTGGTG